ACTTTCTTAAAGGAAATAATGGGAAAAATATCAAAGAGAAAATGACTACGAGACCACAAATGTTTTTTTTACAAGTTGCTAGAATAATGATTGGTTCTGGAAAGTCTTCAACCTACAGAAGTGTAACAGGACCTTGACTTCCAGCCATCGTCAATTTATTACTGCTTTTTTTATTATACAGAAGGTGGTTTCAGAGTGTGAGAGAAGTCCTGGAAAACACAACGTTAAGTACTTAAAATCCTTTCAAAAGTGACAGATGGATAGTAAGGAAAATTAATTACTACTTTTCTAACAATTTTTTTTTTTTTTCCTGAACCCAGGACAGAAAGCAACAGCGTGAGCTGGTAAATTGTTTTCAGAGCAGAATCATTTACTGAGGTAATTCAGTAAGACCTGTCACATGAACTGATAAATCCAAGGACAAAAAAATCCTATGCTCCAGAACTGCCTGGGGTACTAAGTACATCGAGTGGCCGAAATCTGGTGTTTAGGCATTTCTACGAACAAATGTCTCATTGAAGGAAATTTTGGCTGCATAGCAAAATAGCCTCAGCTTTTCCTTTCGTATTCAGTAAGAAATAATTTTTTGCTTAGCTCTTTTAAGCAAACGCTAGCATTTTCAAACAATATGTCAGCTATGCCTGATCAAATGGTGCTTTGACCTTTTGTCTTCCACTGACTCCCAATTAGGAAGGGTCAAGCATCCATCCAGTTGGTACCTACACAACTACCAGGGCTAGAGCACAATCCACAGAAAGGGGACAGAAACTCTGCTGAAGGCCATGTGCAAGTGCTCAAATAGGACAGCAACAAGCTATAGGGTGTCATCCCCTAGCTCCTGCTGGAGAAACCACCCCTGGCACATCAGAGGCCTTCACTCAGGCAGAGCTCCTGAGAGGATGCAGCCCTCCAGGTCTCAAGCTGCCAGGAGAGCTTGGGAACCTCTCCTGAGAGCTGGGGCAAGCAGAGGAAACATCCTTGCCTAGAGGAGGTGTGTGTTAGTGGAGGAGCTATGTCACCAAGTTAGGTCGGAGGGCTGCACAGCATCAGGGAAGATAAGAAGAGACTGATGGTGTCCTCACAGAGACCTTGCAGAGATGAGAGCCTGAACTCCCAGCTGCACAGAAAAAGGGTCTGCAGTCATTGGAGCGGTGCATGAAGACTCGCAAGATGGGGAAGACCAAAGTCTTGCGACCTCCGGCAAAAGAAGGCAGGCTCCTTCTCCACCTGCAGTCACTGCCTCAATGGCAGACAAGAGGCTGGAAGTTCCGAGGAAGCATCAGAACAGCCCAAACACCACATCCACACCAAGAGGTAGCAGTCACGGTGGTAGGACACTCACTCCTACAGGAGACAGTCAATCTCACTTGCTGCCTTCAGAGGTTTGTTGTCTGTTAAGAAGTTGCAGACAGACTGGCAAGGTTGGTCCTGTGCTTGGATTATTAGCCCTTGCTCTTCAACCACACGGGCACAAATCACCAGTGTGGCAAGGGAACACTTGAGTTTATCAAGAGTGACAATACAGTTCCAGGGGCAAGGTGGCACCTCCACAACTTCTCCATCAAAGGAGAAAGGTTCAGAGGCTCTGAGACTTGAATGCTGGTCAGTAACTGCAGGTCAATAACTGGTTGTGCAGGTGGTGTGACAACAAGGACTTGGCTTTTACAGCCACATGACACTCTTTGGGGATAAAGGACTGCTAAGGAGAGGCGAAATCCACCTAAGTGGGACAAAAGTATCTTTGCCTTCAGGCTGGCCAGCCTGGCAAGGACCGGTTTAGACCGTAACTGGTTTAGACCGTAAACAACAGGGGTGTGAATAACAACCCACAGACATGTAGAAATTAATGGACATGAGTGGAAAGCAAGTGGTGAAAGGTGACAGCTACAAGGGAGATCTCAAAATGATAAAAGAGGGTAGAAGAGAGCCTACCACAAGTGTACGTACAGCAATGCACACAGCTTGGGAAACAGGCAGGAGAAACTAGAGCAGTGACACAACTGTGACAGTGTTGGGCTACCTGAGATATGGTGAGACAGCCTGCACAACTGGAATGTTGTTGTGGATGGATGGACACAAGCTGCTCAGGAAAGACAGGCAAGGCAGACGAGGGCAGAGGGTTGTCTTCCATGTGAGGGAGCAGCTTAGATGTATGAAACTTAATGGGACAGACAACAGATTGGTTGAGATCTCGTGGTCCAGGATCAGAGGAGAGACTAGTAAGGGCAACATCATGGTGAGTCTGTTACAGATCATCCAATCCAGGCGAGGAAGCAGATAAAATCTTCTTTAATATCTCAAGAAGTTTCTGCATCACAGATCCTGATTCCTGTTAATCTCTGACATCTGCTGGAAAAGCAACATGGTGGGACACAAGTAGTCAAGATTTCTTGATACAGGCATTGGATGGACCAGAGCTGACCTGCAGCTGAATCTATTACTTACTAACAAGACAAAATAGTTCTGGATGTGATAACCAGTGGCAGCTTTGGCTGCAGCAACCATGAAATGACAGAGTTCAAGATCCTAGAGGGATTGATAAAGGACAGTAAGGAGAATACAGACCTTTGACTTCACTCGCCACTTCCTCCTGGTGCCCTTGCACAGTTCAGGCTCAGCCACTTCAGATGTATCACTGGACAGAGCCCTCAGTCCCTCACCTGCAGCCACAGCACTGAACCTATCCTGTAGTTACAGGAACGCAGGTGGAGAAGGAGCCTTCCTCCTGTTGCCAGAACTCACGAGCTTCTGGCCCTTCCATATCTTAGGAGACTATTTTCCAATCCAATAATCACAGATTATTCCTGCACCTCCTTCAATGTAGTTGTAGGTTTAGGCTCCTGTAGCTGCAGGGTCTCTGAGAAGATTTGATCCATTTCCTTTTGTAATCTCTGATGCTGTACAGCCTGATGACCTCTTCCTGCAGCTCCTTGACTTGGTGACACAGATCTTCTCCCAGCACATGCCTTCTGCATGCAAGAGGACCATCTTCCCCAGTCCCAACAACCTCAGTGGGAGGCCCCAGGCCCTTGTAACTCCAGATCTGGAGAGCTTCATCCTCCTTCAGGAGCCTGGCCCAAGTGAAGCAGACCATGAAGTTGAAATTCTGCTTCAGACTCCCTCCAAAATCTCCCTGGAAGAGCTGCAGCTGAAAAGAGACACCCTACATCCCAACCAGGTATGAAACCGCACAGACTGTAAGCAATACGATCTCACAGTGCAAAGAAAATAATCAAAATAAGCAATATTATTAGTAAGTTCTATTTGATTTTGAATACAGAAGCTATACTTTAAAAGATTAAGGATTAATGCTCACTATTCTTTCTCTGCAAACTATCAGCTCAATCTAATTCTCAGTTCTGGTACTTGGGTCTTCCCTGGAACAACCTTCAGCTATTTAGGGGATTACCATTCTCCTAAAACAAGGGTTTGCAGATAGCATTTTCCTTAGAAAAGCAATTCCACTGACATCAGTGAAGCTGTTCCTGGCAGAATATGCTTAGGTTTTCTGAAAGATCAGAGCCTTAATTAGCAGATCATAATTACACTATTCACTTTCATTTCAATGCTCCATGAATTTAGTAACTCTTCACTTAATTTTAGAATTATATTTTTACTCTATACCTAGAATCTATAATTTAATTGTTTGTTTGGTTTTTATTTTTTTTTTTTTTTAATTCTAGTTTAAACATCATAGTATTTGAAAACTTACAGAAAATACAGATCTTTGGTTGGAGTAAAAAGCCTCTCCCTCCTTTCTTGTGACAACTTCAATGAAAATTTACAAAGTTTCCTCCCATTATCTACCTAAGATTATGAACACACTGGGAAAAACTTGCTACCTTGCTGTCTAAATAGACAGTATCCATGACTCAAGGTCACTACGGCACACGAAGAAGCCAATTATTGTTAAATTCCAGACAATTGAAATAGATGTCTAAAGCTGGTTTTGCCACCCAGTTTTGAAAAAGTGAAAAAAGCTAGTTTTTGTGCTTTTTCTATTTACATATTTTCAAGGTTTACACAAGGTTGGTCTCAAAGAAACAAAAGACTAGATGATATCTACTGCATCACCAAGTCTAAAGGGATTCCATGATGTGATGCTTGCTAACCACAAGACGATCCAGGTTCAAGAAGTTAAAACAGTCACTGGTAGTTTTCTTTCCTAATATGATAGCGAAAATAAAAGAGATATAAAAACTCTCCAGCATTCAAAATACTAAATACTTTCTGGAGAGCTGATGCTATCTGTACAGAGCTAGCAAACATTGCAGCTCTCAAACTGTTGTCTTTGAAACTCTTTCTGGTAGAAATAGGAAGAAACAAAATTGGATGAACAGTATTTATGAAAATTAAGTAAATGAAACAATGTCAGTCTGATTCCCCAACCTCCCAGAAAAAAAAAAAAAAAGATACTTTTTGTTCTGTCACATGGCCTATTAAAAGGGAATCAACAAGAATTAGTTCAATAAAGTTGAACTAATTGAATTCAACAAGAGCCTGTGCATCAGTATTATCTGTTTTATAGCACAAGCACATATCACACCAGTGAAAAGTGAAGGTTACGCACATGTTTGATTATCCTAAAGCATATATACTATTTGCATTCAGACTCCAGAAATAATACTTCCGATCTGTGTTATTAGGCAGCTTTTAAGAAGGTAGAATAAGCTAACAAAGATTTATTTGGCAATTCTAATGCAAGAAATGGCAAAGTCAAAACCACAGGCATTTCATATTACAGTAACAACCAGAACAAAAACAATAGGTGCAGCACAACCTCTGCCTTATACATATACTAAGTACAGGCAGAATAATCAAACATACGTTCAACATTAAACTTTTACTGTTTTTCCCCAAACATGCTTTTCCTAACCTCGTCCTCTTTTGGCATCTTGGAAACCCAATGGAGTGATTAGTTTTGGAAAAGTACTGACACTGTGCTGAACTTGGTAACTTTTTACATGATAAATTGAGTAAAGGCATGAAGTGAAATAAACTCACCATTTCAGTGGTGTACCTTCATATTCAAACCATATTTCACTAACTTCCTCTTGTCTCATAACTTTCTGAAAGTGTTTCTTCACTTTGTCTGTTACCAGTGTCAAGTAGCTTATCCTTGGCAAAAGCAACTAAAAGAAAAAAGTATAAAAGCTTTAAGTAAACACAAAATTTAAATTAATAAAAATCTGTAACAAGTAAGCATTTTCATAGCCAAAATTCAGTCAGCATTCTTTTTTTTCTCCTCCACCTTTAAGGTAAGATGTCTTTCAGACAGTTTATTTATTAATGGTTAATGAAAGGCTATAAAATTATGTACACAAAAGATGCAGAATAGCAGTATGCAATACAGTAGCAAAAAAAAAGTAAAAAAGTTCTTGATTCTTTCAATGTGGTGGGAGGGAGAAGAGTGGAATTTAATTTCTGCTTTTCTGTATTTAAGCAGGCCAAGGAATGACGTTTTTAACCTTTTTCATATGAACAGATAGGAACATACTCTAACTTCTTATTGAATATAACGAGCAACTGTGTATCAGCTATTATTTCAAAATGGAAATTCCTACACAATTAAAAACAAACAAAAAAAAAAGACTGAAAACTAGCTGCTTAAGGGTGTAGCTCCCATGTGTGTTTTTTATTTCCAATAGCTGGCAATTTCCATTTTCTTTGCACTGGGTTTGCCAATTCAACATGTTAGTCAAGGCTGCTGTGATTCTTCCACTGTTTAACCTTTGCCCAGCTACTAAAATCAGAAAGAAAACTGTTAATATTTTGTAAGCTGAAACAAGACACCTTCTGACAGCTTTCTGGTGTACTATCTTCTTTTCTCAAGTGTAATCTTATGTACTTTCCAAAACAGAATATTGTGTTATTTTTATTTGCAACCCCCTCCCCTTGTTTTTTGGGGGTTTATTTATTTTTTTTTTTCCCCAGTATCCCAATGAGAAAAAGATTAATCTCCCCGTAAAATAACATTTATCTTTGGAGCAGTTGTTTTAAATGAATCACATTCATCCTGTAAAGTTATTTTCATTTCCTAATTATTAATAAAATAGATGGGTCTAAGGAATAAATAGAAATAAATTATATTTTGCATATTTAGAGAAAGAGAAACGTTTGTTTTCCAGTGTTCCTCATAACCAGTGTTGTTTCTGAAAATATTTTCTTTAGAGTATATGGATAATACTAGGCCTTAAGTGAATGTCTATGGTACAGACATCCCAAACGATGTAAGGATGTATTTTGCCTGACCGAAAACTTGATCTCTGCTGCAACATTCTTCCAGAATCTCTCCAACAATTGGACCACACTTTAATATATAAATTAGATACTATTTTGGCCATGATACTAGAATTTATTTATAAATATCGGATTCACAAAAAAGAAGTATGGAAAGTAAACCAAGAGTAAGTTCTTATGAAAGAGAATGGATTCGCCTTTTAGATAATGCTGCATTAAGTTACTAATCTGCATACATCTATGAAACAACTAAATTTTAGGATTATATAAAACTATAAAAGATCAAGACTCACCACTATCACAGTCATCAAGTCCCTTAACACTTGATCTTTTACGTACCATATGGTTTTCTTTTTCCATCTGTTGTTCTTATTACCATCACCATACTGTTTTTAACTTCTTTCATAGGAGTCTAATTCAACAGTGTAATTAAACAGAGCCTTGAGTTTTAAAAGGTGAACAATCTCAATAAATTCGATGAAGTCATGTACACACTCAAGTGAGAATTGTTTGGTACCTCAATGACAATATAATCTTACCCTTTATTAACCTAATTCCATATATCTACACTGATTGTTCTTGAGATAATATAGGCCAGGCCACTCCAACTCAAATATTTTTGGTAATAATTCTATATTTTCTGTGTGATATTTACAGTTAAATTCATGCCGCTCTATTCTGATATGAGACCCGTTCGTACTGCTACAAAAGCCAACTTTCAGCATGCTGCATGTGGCACAGCCAAGCAGGAATTGATAAACATATTAAAGCATTATTAATTGCAATAGCGTTCGACATAACCCTTTGAACTGCATAACTAACTTCCTCTGTAAAATATTTTACTTCAGTTTGTAGCGTGGAAGAACAATGCAGTTTCTATTTCAACACAATTAGCGATCACAGACAATAACCAAACAGCATTTAACTGAATTTAACAGAACGTGGCCAGCGCTCCCAATGGGCCTCTTTGGAGTACAAAACCCAACAGTTAATCAGGTTAACAGGACTGCCTGTTTTTCAGAGATGCTGAGCATTTGCTGCACCTACTGAGCTCTTTTTTCGGTCTTCCCACCTCTTCTACCTCACTACAGTCTTCCCCTTCCGTGGGAGACATGAAAGGATCCAATTCTATCACTTTTCTAGCTTTAATTATCCTAGATATTGACAAGCATACTAAATCTGTTACGTGAGACCTTTAAAAGCATAGTTTAAAGACATTTTCATTTTGCTACTCCTTTCAATATCCCTTCTCCATCAGTTGTCTACACTCAGTGAAAGACACCAGTTAACACAAAACATTTTTGCTCCAAAAATCCTGTAGTCTTTAAATGCTATTACTGAGTATTTCCAGAGGAGAGGTACTAAAAAATAATTGGGAAAAAACCCACCAACCTTAATATATTTAACTGTATGCTGGGCTTTAGTCAATCTGTCTGACAGCAGAATCACGTTAATTGTTTTATGGAGGCCTGTATATGAAAACCAGAATTCCACGCAGCAGTTTACCTTCTAGACTATTAGACCCTCACAAGCTTCTCCAGCACTTCAGCCACGTGGCAAGGAGCCTTCCTTTTAGGCAAAGCCGTGTTCACCAGAATGACAAACACTTTTACTCCAGATTCCTAGACCCGTCCGTGCAGGCTGAGGAGGCTGTATCACTTCAGCCTTTGGTTACCCTGCAGCAATACCGCTAGGTGCTGGGAATGAACAGCCATGATTCAGTGATAAGAGTAATTCTTGGGTTAGGGCTGAAATACCTAATTAAGTAAAAAACTACATGATCATATGACAAGATGTACTAATCCCAGTTAAACTCATTCCACTAAGTCAGATTTGCTCAATTGCCTTTTTTTGGGGTTTTTTTTGACAAATAACCATCTATCAGCAGACTTTGTGCTAAATGTTAGAATAACGCTATGAAAAAATTGAACACATTCAACAACGCAAGTAATGTAACAACTGCAGCCTGAATGTAGGACTGATAAACCACTACATAATACGCTAAAAGACAGAATGCCCATCATAAATTAAACGACCTACAGTACTGCATGGGCAAATATGCAGACAAGGTATTATCAGAAGTTTTTAATGAAGAGACTGAGTGCATATTTAGCATAGACTCAATAGTTATCAATTTAAGTAGTGTATGAGAGAAAATAACTACTAGGAAGGTGCATGATATAATACATAAGGAATTAAACAGACGAGAATCCCAGTTTTGATCCAAATTGTCTGGCAGCCCACTGATGAATGGCAGACAAGTATAATGCTTGCTGCTCGCTATACTGCATAATAAAGAAACCTGAATGAAAACCCCCACTTTCGGTTGAGCTCTGTGGCTCAGAAGAAGCCAAGTCTCTCTTGTCCCCTAGATCGGACTTGTAAGAAGATTCAAGAGAAGTCTAAAGCAGTCAGTGGGTGAATTGCTTTTAAGTGTCAAGACTGAGTAAGGATTCCTGAAATGTTAAGTGAGGCTGGGTGCCTTTACCACAGAAAACTGGTGTAAGTTTTCTCCCACTCAGTATAAAACCAAAAAGCTGGCATAAACTCCCTCAAATAGTCACAGTACATGGTACAAAGCCAAGTAGATGTTCATGACCTGTCGGGATCAGACTGACCATTGCGACAGCAATGAAGACAAGATAAACAAATTGCTCAGTACTAACAATTAAAAAAATACCATTTGAGAACATGAAAAAAACCCTAAAATTCATATTTACAGCTGAATTCTTAAGTCAATGGCCATACCTGATTTAATTCTTTCAAACTTAACGGGTACTAGTTCTTGATTAAAAATGAAACACAACACTAATCAACAGCTTTTGCTAAGATTTCTAGCCCTAGCTTTGAAAGAAATGGTGAAAAGCGTACACACAATTCATATACGCTCAGCTTAAATCAAAATAGCTATACAAAACTGATCAGTGGAGGGGGTGTTTGTGCGTGTGTATGTGCAAACAAAGAAGATCAGGAGTTCTCTTCATGAAATTAAGAAAACAAAAGTACATCTCCAAATACATTACCAGGCAGAATAAATCCTAGTAGGCTAGAACACACCATCCCTAAAATTACACATACCGCAACACCTTCCTTTTGCATGTTGTGTATTTAACCACAATAACCAGGAATGCTTTTTGTAGAGGTTAAATGAAATGCAAGAAACTCCTAATGTCTAAGTAAATGCCTGCAATATATCTTCACGTAAAAAGAGTACCCCTCCAGCTATCTCCACAGATTCTGTCGCAGAGAAAAACACCATTTTACATGCAAACCAGATTATAAAACAGAAAAATTCTAGATTTAACAGGAACTGGACTGGTCTGATCACCAATGTAACCAGGATGAAGAAACAAAGCACCCTAACGTGGCATGGCTTCACATTGCTCACTCTTACGGACACGTTAATAGAAGAACCCTTTTGATATTGAGGAAGCTTAAAGGGCAGCCGAGTAAAGGGTAGTCCCTCAGGCAGGGTATCATTTTAACACTGCTTTCTGCCATAATTTTGTTCTTTACACTTCACAAATCTCAGCCAATGACTACTCTGCTTCCTGTACACATTTTATTTCTAACTGTTGTTTGCACCAAGAGGCAGCCAGTACACTGTATTTTAAAAGAAAAATCACAACAACTTTAGCACTAGGGAAAAATCAGATAGTTCAGCAACAAAGGTAGTTCAACCTGGCTGTTCCTAATTATGCTTCCACTTCAAACACAAGCATCTGTAGGAAACACTCCAAAGAAACTTGGCATATCCATTTCCAGTGTTACTCTGCAGAAACCTCCCTGGCTTGACTACAGGAAGAAACAAGAGAGTGTTGTACCTCAGCTGCTTAGTCTTGATGTCACTACTCTTTCCAAAAGATAGATAAGCTCATTTTAAATTAGCTCTGCTACCCCTACACAGTGCCATACCATGATACACACATGCATCACTCCTGTGCTGTGTTAATCCCTCTAACAGACAAGGGTCTTCTGTCACACCACTCACAACAAACTGAAATCCATCACGCAGATTCTGGGTCGTTTTTCTAACCCCACACCCTCCAAGTCTATGTCTTCCTCCATCTTCATAAAGCAATTTCCTCAGAACAGAAGCTTTTTTCCCCCCTCTTAGCATAACAATGCCAGTATTTCCTTCCCATGCAGCCTTCACATTTATGGAAGCCAGTCTGGAACACAGAGGTTACGTCTATATTAGCAAGTACCGAGGTGTGATAACAGGAGACATGGAAAGCTGAACAGCTGGTGTCAAGAGTCAGGAGTGTTCACTACACATACTTTTTAACTTTAATTTGAGGGGTTTTGATGTTTTTTACTTCAATTCAGCTCCAGTTTGATCCCATACACTAAATGCCCATTAGCAGCTGAAGCACATCTTTTGCTTCAGCTTCACATGAAAAATGATTCAGCTTGTGGGCTCTAAAACTGCCGTGTGATGCAAACCTGGGCACAGTAAGTGGAAAGGATGAAGACTTGCTTCAAAAATGCACTCCGGATCTGAACAAAAACATTAACGTAGATGGACTCTGAAACCATGAGAACTAAACCATGACTTAAAACCTTGATTGCTATTACTATTATAAATCCTTGGTCTCTTCAAGAAGCAAAGCTGTATTATCAGCTCCAATATGACCTGAAAAAGGAAGAAGCTAAAATTTTAGAATTGTGATCTGTGAATAATCAGATTTTGCAAAAACAGAGAATTAAGCCTTGAGAATTTCTGTGCGCGCTTTAAGCGGAGTAAATAAAAGAAACTCTACCAGCTTAAAACTATCTCCTTGGATTAGAAAGTTGGCCACACCATGAAGATAACATGGTTTCAGGGTTTCCACGCTGATGTTAAACAGATCAAGACTGCATGTCTCTATACTTAAACTCATACCTTACATGTAGCTCTTTATATTTATATATATATATACACACACACACATATATATGAGTTAAAATATGTATGTATATATTGCATAATTTAAAGTCTGAGACTTCTAGATAGCTCAGATGCATTTGGTAATAGGTCAACCACATGAAGTAAAAGTGCTTCTGTTTTACCCATGGTGAAACTAAAACATAGGAAGATGAGCACTATCATCACTGAACGAAAAGCACGAATACTTTATTAGGTCTGAAAAACCCACTGAATACACATGTAAATCAGAAACTGATGACGTAAAGATGCTATTAAACACAGAAAAAAAATATTTCTATCCAGTAATATTTTCAAAAAGAACAGAATGCAATACAAGACTTAAGGATTTCAGAATCACGCAAAAACTCATAGTAGAAGACTTTCCTCCCACATACTTGTTACATTTCTAATTTAAGTTTCACTGAATCAGCTGACATTCTCTATCAAACAAATGTCTATTAGGTGCTGAAAGAATGAAAACTGCTGAGTACACTATAAATCAATACCACATGATTATAGAAAGCACTTCCAGTTTACAACTCAAATGCATCCATCATCCTCATTTTTATCATCAGCTAGCAATCCAGTTCAGTTCAGGCGCTGTACTGTTAAGACATTACAGCTGCTTTTCCTACATCTGAGCTAGATCTCTCATGGCTGCTAGCATTTAAAGAAAAGAAAACGAGTAGAAGTTGTCAAGGAGCAGAAATACTAGAGCCAGTGCTCATTATGAGTTTGTCTTACACGGGTGGCTGATCGTAGCATTTAAGATTGCACAAAGCTCTGACTGAAGTTATTTCTGTAGTAAGGTAACATAAAAGTTCTCTCCCTTCTTCTGGTCATTATCCAAGAATATACAAACTCACACAGAGACTCTTCCTTTTACCTAACTGCAGACTTTGTAATTTTTTTTTTTTTTTTTAAGATCTTAATTATCTGTGGCAAGTTTCTTTCACTGGTGAAATAAGCTTAAAGCTTTGAACCTGCTGTGAAGAGGGACGAATCATGCAGCATGGTCATATGGTTTACTTTCAGAAGGTACCAGGAATAAGAAAAAAAAAGTTGTTTGTTTTTTCACAACATGTAGTAGCACATATGATGAGAATGAAAAAACCAAACATGGCATTGGTCTGTGACCACCTTCATTATACTCACATAATAAGGTTCAGCTTCCCTTTCAGTTATCTCATCCTGATAGAGAGTGAAACAGGTTGGTATTCGTCCAAACCACACATCTCGAAGCACATCTTTGTCATCTGTCATTCTTCCAATGGATAGTGAAGCACATGTAGATCAGTTTGTTTCTTCAGCTAAAACTGTAATCCCGTTCCCCCCAAAAGAAACAAGTCAGCACAACTGCAAATAAAATACATCTTATTAAAGGTTCTCCCATCACTACGCTCCTGTAAGCATGAGACCTTAAACGCATCAGTTGGTACAGAGAACGGGATGAGTTAAGGCCTCCGAGCTAACACCATCCCAACCACAAACACACGGTGGATGAAGAGCAAAGGAGCATTTTCTAAGCCTGCATCAC